CATAGGAAAATGGGAGGGAAGGACTCTCGCGAATGCATCCTATAATGGCTCAATAAGTGGCCATGCATGGCGTCAAAATCGCCGCGCGTGCGAACACTGAATGGGACGCCGTACGTTGGACGTTTTATTGATTTAGGGAGCGCTCAGACTTCGCGATGACGCGCGTCGACCCGCTACCATTACGACAACGCTCTAATACTTTAGACGGGAACGCAACTATAGACGAGCATGGGCTCCGGCCGCTAGTGTTGCGAGAGAGTGTATGACAAAAAAGGGTAGGCAAAAACAAAATCACACTCTGATATCTATCGACGTTGCAGGGTGTCGACGCGCGTCATCAAGAAGTCTAAATACCGCCTCATCCAATATATCAGCAGACTTTCGATAATCCCAATTTCTTGTTTATTTTTTTACATTTGCCAGAAATCTCTTTTCGGGAACCAACTTTGTTCGAAAATAACAATCAACTTCAAAATACTGCGTCTCCAATAGGCACGCAGGATCGTGACGCCGGGCGCGCTTCTAACTTGTTTTGTTCTTCTACCTAATGACGAACTAATGGGCGGACTTCAGGGTAGTTCAGCACATCTGAGGCGTGGTATCGCGCCAAAGCTAGCCATTACTCCCAATTACTCCACAGAGGACTTTGGCGTGACATCGTGCTCAGGCTATACCGCTACCTCACAACCTTTTCTTTTGAAAAAAATCAATAAGCGATAGCTTCTTTGCATTTCAAGTTTCAGACTACACGAATTAAGGTTACTCTATAATCGAAACTGCTAAATTGGACATGATTTTACGGGAGACGGTCAAGACAATCGTAACTTGTTGCGTCGTCGCGCGGAGTACCGTGCAGCGATGCGCAGCAAATACTCGAGCTGTGCACCAGCTTGTTGATTGAAGCAACGGAACTCATGTAAATTCAACTAGAGGCAGGACTCCCTGACGACAGATATCAAATTTCCCCATCTCTTTGACGTTCCCCGTCAAATTCAAATAGCCAAGCAGGACAACACGTCTGTCAGACGCAGCATTGAAGAATATGCCCAACAGAGCGGTATATTACGATTGTCTAGCCACATACGCCGATTTGACAACGATTCTCAAGCTTCAAAACATGATGGATCAATTTATTTAATTGTTGTCAAATTTTTGAGATAGGGCCGTAAAATGAAAAGTGTAGGACGTAGGCTGTCGTGGCTTCAAATCAGGGCACATCGTTGTTGGGGAATCCCCAATAGGGGGGTCGTATTTGGCCGCCAGGAGAGGGGGGTCGTATTTGGGCTGGGAAAAATTTATTTTGATAGTTGATTTTTCTCGCTTCATGGACGTTGTAAAGGGGGGGGGGGGGTCGTACTTGGTCATTGTTGGGAGGGGGGGGTCGTATTTACGTTTTGGCGTTGTAGGAGTGGTGGTTGACTTTTGGTGATTTTCCTGTTTCATGCGTACTATATGCCCCCCGCTCGACAGCAAAATTTTTGGGGAAAAGTAGGGAACTTTTCGGGAAATTTTAGGAAAAAGTGGCAGGAAGTTGGGGAAAATCTGAAAATTTGTAGAGCGGTCTATTGCTATTGTCTCGCGACTTTTCCTGTTTCACACTGCTGCTACTTATCCCCTCCCCCCCTTAATGAAAGTCGGCGTCGTACAGACTCGAGTAAAATCCCCAACCGGTGATATGCAGTTTTTGAAATTCAGGAGCAAGTCAATGTTAAGTTATTTAGTCACCAAGGTCTTAGTTTCCGCCGCGCACGACTCGACCGCAGTCTCCAGCATATGAACTACACCCTGTTACAACAACAACCGCTGGAAGGGAAATCAAGCCTAAACTTACGGAGCTCTACTTTTGGTGGAGTATTCTTTGAACTCTGAGTCATGAATCGTAAAGAATGGGCGGAAATCGTTGTGATATTTCAGAGCAGCAATAGCGAGACAATGCCTGAAAAACCCCGAATAAAAAAAAACTAATTCAATATCCCCAAAAACTTTCAATGATTAATGACGCACCTGTACTATAGAGGAACAGCGTTGTGGGGTGTTAGCCATAACCAGCAGAGGCTAAAACAGATAATTATAGGGCGATTATAGAAACACAGTTCTTAGGCTGTGTTCGTAGTTTGCGTCAGCTTTCTGAGCGTACAGCAGAGTCTTAGCGACTGCGAAAGTATAGGTATCGATCTAGCGTACGCCAGCGCTCTCGGCGGCTACCAGCGAAAAGAAAAAATTCACCCACGAAACCTTCAAAATGCAAAACAGGGCACATTCGTTTGTGGGAATCCCAATAGGAGGTCGTATTGTCGCGCAGGAGGCGGGGTCGTATTTTGTGCGAGAAAAATTTATTCTTTTGATAGTCTGATTTTTTCTCTGCTTCATGCGACGCTTGTTAAAAGAGAGGGGTCGTTTTGATCCATTTTTTAGCGAAGAGGAAGGGGGTCGTATTCTATCGTTTTGCGTTGTAAGGAGTGGCCCGCTGACTTTTGGACTGATTTCTCCACGATCCTTCACAATGTGTCCGAATTTACCTCCTCCCTCCCCTTCCCTCTCCCCCTCCGCCTCGCACCGGCGATTTGATGAGGAGGGACAGAGCGTCGGAGGGGGAGGGGGGGGGGTCACACCAACCCCAAAAAAATGGGGGGGGATCGTACAGGCTCGAGTAAAATCCCCAACCAATAATGTGCCCTGTTTCCTATTCGCTCAAAACAGTGACGGCGTTCAAAACGTTGACGTATAGTATGTACGCAGCCTTTATTGAAAATTCACAGCTAATACCCACCTCTCCCAGTAATACCAGCTCCCACAACAATTGAAGATGATTAATAACTGTATGAAGTGCCTTGTACATATCGACTTGATGAACCGATGTCAAAATCACTGTGTCCACATTAGTGCCAGTGATATCCTTGAAAAAAATTCCAGTAAATGTAAATATTTCGACAAAAAATGATTACAACTGAAAATTAAGAGAAAATTTGAAAAAAAAGAAAAGGAAATTGAACTTCCATACTTTCAAAGTTGGGACCAGGCGAAAGTCCAATGGTAAGTCGTTTCTGCAGGGAATACGGATCCGAAGAAGAGAGCCTAACAAGGGCAATGAGAGCGGCTCGCCTACACAAGGTGACGGCCATTGATCCATGTCGTGACATGCTGAAATGAAGCTCTCAATGCTTGAAGACAATATGACCTCACTTCCAAATCAGCTGGATTTACAAAAAATTGAGCATTATTTGTTTACTTCTGTTGGGGCTGCAACTACTTATATACTAAAGATGTTTATTTTTCAATAATAACAAAAGCTTGAAATTAGGGTATCGACAAAGGGGTGTCCTTCCTTCAGGGAAAAAGCACAATTTCCCCCTCAAGTTCCCCTCCTCTGCTACCTCTCCCCCTTCCTACCACCTACATTCTCCTAACTTCCCACCTCCTATCAGTTTCATTTTTGTTCTCAGCTCTCCCCCTAAACAATGCCTAAGGGCTGGGTGGAGAAGAGGGCATATGGCGAACATGAAAGGGTAAAAGCCGAAAGAGGTCAACAA